GAGCTCTGTGGCGCTCTGCCTCTGCTCCCCTCACCTCCACTCATGTAGCTAAATGGGTTCATTGATACTCTGTGATACTTTCCAGAGAAAACAACATGAATAGCAGGTTCTGGATTTATTTAGCTTGAAAGGCAGAGCAATGGCAAAGAGGTAGAGAGAGAGAGAGAGAGAGATCTTCCATTTGCAGATTCATACCAGCCAGGGCTAGACTAGGCTGGAGTGAGAAATTCCATCCTAGTGAGTGTCAGGAACCTGAAGACTTGAGGCTTCAGTTGCAGCAGCCCAGGTGCCACTAGCATTATCAGGAAGATGGACTGGAAACTGAGGAGTCGGGACTAAGGGGGTTGGCTTCTTGGTGGCAGCCCAACTGCCTGTGTGCACCCTGAATCTACAAGTTACAAAGCAGTCATAATTTTCTAAGAATTTTGATGAAAATTCAACCAACCTCTTGCACTTCAGTAGGATCCATCATGCATGTTTGGCTGTGTCCAACGTGTTGGTTGTAGACATTCAGCTGAGTCTGGTGCTGGGGAGAGTGGTGCCCCAGTGGTAGATGCAGCTCCCAGGAGAGCTGGGGAGGTTGATATGCCAGGAGCACGGAGGGCTGCCCTTTCTGAAATGCTGAGACTGCATTTTCCAGCAAGGGCAAACAAAATAGGCATCTCATTAGAATTCCCCCTTTGAAGAATTGTTGCTGTTCACTTAAAGTTGCTAAGTGAAAAATGTCATCTTCCCACTTAACAGAAAGAGCATTCATTTCTTTAAAGAATTCCTTAATTTGTTGGAAAGGCAGTTAACAGAAGGAAAGACAGAGAGATCTTCCCCAAATGGCTGCGATGGCCAGTCTGAAGCCAGGAGTTAGGAACTCCATCCAGGTCTCCTTCATGGTACAGGGGTCCCTTTGGCCATCACTGCCTTCCCAGGTATGTTAGCAGGGAGCTGGGAGGGAAGTGGAGCAGTCTGGGCTCAAGCCATGTGTGTGGCTGACAGTCATCTTTGTTTTGGACTAGAAGTATCCTTGGATGCCACCTGTTGGGTGAGGAAAACAAAGGATGGTGTGGTGAGTGTTGCCAGCCTTCTGAGAGTCCCCCAGGCTCCAGGTGTACGCTCAGAAGACCGTACCCCTGGATCCCTTTACCAGCCTTGTGCTGTGCTCAGAATTCAACAGAATTCAAACTTCCTGGCTCTGCCCTGTGCTGCTGTGGGGTTCTAGACTGTTCTGGCATGGCGAGAGAACACAGCTGAGCATGCACCTGGGGAGGGGGCTCATGGAAAGCTTCCCCATGGCCCTCAGAGGTATTGTGTTACCTGGTAAATAGTCGTGAAATTTATGTTGCACAGTGCAGCTTTGGAAATCCAGGAATAGGGCACCTGTTACAGGATTCGCAGTCGTGTGCTTATCCCCCATGACTTTACTTGAGAACCTGATGTTACTCCGTAGTTCTCAGCCAGCTCTCTTAGCTGGCCATTCATCTTAGGTTTGAGGGTTCTGGAACTAAGAGCTGTGTTTGCTTCTCGGCACGTGGATGGAGGCAGCGTGGGTTGAGTTGCTTCATGCAGTGTTCTTCCCTGACAAGTTTCTGGCCTGCACCTGAATATTTATTGCTAGCTTGCTTACTAACTAATAATAGTTATTGCCACTAAGGTGTGTTGAACCTGCCCCAAACCATTCCCTGTAGCCAACGTGTCTCTCCTAAACCCGCTGAAGACACCCAGAGCGGGTGGGGGCTGCCTGCTGGGTTCCCAGCCACACCCATTCTCCTATCTCCTGGCCAGGCCTCCCAGATCCTTTTCCATCTACGCATTGATTTGCGCTAACAGCTCTGGAGTTTCTCTTTCCCTAGAAGAAACAGGTCGTCTGCTTATCTTCTGTCCCCAGAGAGAGCAGGACAGTTATCTGTGAGTGGACGTTGCATTGGCCCCCAGGGCTCCCTTGTAGCCATGGACTGGGTCCCTGTGCCCGCTGGGTACTGGTTTTGAGGAGTTGACTTCCTGCCCTGGCTTGGTTTCTAGGTGCCAACCAGCAGACGCCTGAGCCAGTCTGAGCCCTCTGAATTGCACACACTTCAGGGTGTCGGGTGGGATTCAGCAGGCTTTACCTAGGGGCTGCAGGGGAGCTGGCTGGGCTCTGTGCTTGGAGGGACCCAAATTGTCCTCGTGAGCCTTCTTTTCTAGAAGCTCAGCACTAAGTATACAAGGGTGAACAGGAGGGGCCACTGCAATAGCTCAACCAGCAGTCTTTTGTTTTGCAGTATCGGCATCCCATATGGGCGCTGGGCCGTGTCCTGGCTACTCGATTTTCCATCCAGCTCCCTGCTTGTGGCCTGGGAAAGTAGTAGAGGACGGCCCAAAGCCTAGGGATCCTGTACCTGTGTGGAAGACCCAGAAGAACCTCCTGGCTTCTGATCAGCTCAGCTCCAGTCATTGGGACCACTTGCTAAATGAATCAGCATATGGAATATCTGTCTCTTCTTCTCTGTATATCTGCCTTTCTAGTAAAAATAAATCTTTAGGCAAAAATTTTAAAAAGAGTGAACGGGAATCCCCAAGTATGCCAGGCTTAGGTGGCCTCCTTGCTTGCTGGGCCCACACTGCCTCCTAGAACTACATGTGGCCCTATGGGCATGTGTGGTAGTCGATTCACTGTGGGTCTTAAACATGGTGTCACTTGACCAGCAGTTTTGATCCATTCCCCCCACTCCATAAGTCATGTGATCTGTATTCCCAGATTCTTTATCTCCTTCTTCCTGGCTTGAAGGCAGAATTCCCCCTGCAGTAGATGTAAGGAGACGGGAAGCGACACCTAAGTGTGTCTATAGGCCAGCCCGTTTACCTGCACGTCCCCTGCTTCATGTTCCCACAGCAGGATTGCCTAAGATCCTTATGCAATAGGCACCAGGACAATGTCTTCCTTCAGAATGAGGCTTTCTTATGTGACTTTTTGTTTTTCTCATTTTTTATTATTATCATTTTATGATACAGTTTCATAGGCTCTGGGATTTCCCCTACTCATTCCCCTAAACCCTCCCCCTTCGCTGAGTTCACCCATATCATTACAACAGCATGGTTCTTCATAAACAGTCATAAGTCCATCATTGCGGGCATGGACAATGGCAGAGAATCAAGACATATCCAACAGTTCCCCTGGCTGTTGATCCTTGATCCAGAAGTAGAGAAGCACACTGCATCGTACCTTCTCATCTGGACATGACAATCTCCACTACACAGTCACTATATACACCCCCTCCCCAGTGAAAAGCCACAAAACAAAATCAACAGGAAGTTTAAAAGCTTCTAAGCTAAAGAAGGCTTGCTTGCTGGTAGTTTGAAAGAAAGTTATAATTTGGTATCTGTGATAGGGCGGCAACTTTAGAGCACAGACATGAGCTATGCCATCGTCACTATCATCATCATCATCATCATCTGGCATTGCTGCTACTCTGAAATTTTGCTTCCTGCTGCTGTAGTCATTTCCCTAGGCTTCCACAGACTTGCAGTGGGAATGCTGGTGTAGCAGGAGTGCAGCCAGAGTCCATGTCTCTGTGACCAGGTGTGTACTCAGGAGTCAGGCCTGGCCTCCCAAGGGTGCACCCTTTGGGTGCCTCCAGCATTTTACCCTCCCTCTCTCACAGTGCCAACACTGGAGGAAATCCCTGCACTGCACCCCGACCTGGGACACCTGCCAGTCCTTGACTCTCTGCATGCCACCCTCTTCCCCCCATCTTCATGGAGTTAACATTCAGCTCACTTGGGACCAGGGGAGTGGGCTATCTGAGCACAGAGAAACCAAGCCAGGAGTTTGAGAATTGAAGAGACCACTTGCAGGACTCTCTCAGAGCCATGAGGCAGCATCAGGCATATTGAACTTCGGTAAAAATCCAGAGAAGAATCTCTGTTCAGTGTCTGCATGAAATCTGTGCGTCACAGGCGTTGGCCTGTGTGCGTGTGGGGAAGGCACCGTGAGTGCAGTGTGCATATTCACACAGTAAATCACCAACATGCACACAACTCGAGTCCCAGCACCACCCTGCTTTCGCTTACCCGTGTTCCTGGACCAGGTTGCCTAGGGCTGTCCCAGGGCCTGGGGTAGGACTTCCTGTGGATACATATTCTGATTCTCCTTCATCTCTGGCTGCTCAGGATTTCACCAGCAGAGGAAAGGCTGCCCTGGGTGTTCCCGTCAGTGACAGGTTAAGGACAGGGGAAGTGCCCCCTTCTGCTTGGCTGTCAGACCCTGAACGTTCCCTCTCTCCTGGGCCCGTTTGCAGACCCAGTCCCATCTTCAGCAGCTCCTTCAGCCCCAGGAGGGGGCATGCACTTGTGGTGCTGTGTAGCCTTGCGGCAGTTCCTTGTGCCACCTAACCTTTCCCACATGGGAACAAGTTCAGGCAGTCGGAACTGCCCCTGTGAACACCAGCATCCCACAAGCATGCTGGCTCGATTACCAGCTGCTCCACTTCTGAACCGGCTCCCTGCTAAGGCTCCTGGGAAAGCAGCAGAGGATGGACCCCACATGGAAGACCTAGATGGAGTTCCAGGTTCCTAGCCCAGCCCTGGCTGTTTGGGGAGTGAACCAGCTCATGATGGCTCTAACTCTGGCTTAAAAAAAAAAAAAATAGCACCTTGCCCAGGTTTTTCAAGCTCTCACTTGCTTTTGTTTTCCCTGGGATAACTTTATCATCTCACATTCCCAGTTGAGGGGTGTTTTCTACATTGTAATCAACTTGCAAAGCTATTATTTCACTGAGCAACTTTTGTGTGTGTATGTGTGTGTGTGTGTGTGTGCGTGCGCGCACGTGAGTATAAGGGCCAGGTTGCTGTCTGTTTGGGAAAGAGAATTACTGTGTGGCCCTGCTTGTTGCCCCGAGGTGGCGTGGCTGGCCCCACTGCCGTTTGCTTCAGTGCATGGTGGCAGAGGCAGGCCTAGGCCTGGCACCTCGGGTCTCACTCAGGGACCCAGGGAGCACTGTGTGACTTCTCTTCTGTTTGTTCTGCTGCAGCTTCCATGAGGCAGTCTCAGGCTGAACCTGCAGACATGCGGCCGGAGATGTGGATCGCGCAGGAGTTGCGGCGTATCGGAGACGAGTTTAACGCGTATTACCCACGCAGGGTAACGGCCTTTTTCCTACCTCCTCCTCTTCCCACCCATCCCACCTTACTGTGCTACAGCAGAACAGGAAATCATAGCATCATGCTGATTCTGCAATAATGATCAACCCTTTATGGCCTGCCATGGGCCCTCTGCATCTGTCCCAGGGCCAAATACAAGTGATGGCAGACTTGTCCCATGCAGGCCATGTGGTCAGAGAGTCTCTAATAAGCACAGCCTTGAAGTGCTAAAGTGGAGATTCCTCTGTAGGCTTTGAAATTGTCCCACCTACATATTATTAACATAGTTGCCCATCTGTGGGCCACAATGAAAACCACTTTTCACTTGCCTATCTCTGAGTGCCAAGCAGCAGTGCCTATGCTCATTTCCAGGGCACCGTACCACAAAAAGGCACACGGGGCAGAGAGCTGGGTCCTCTGGTCCCCTGCACATCTGTTTCTCGAAACGCATTAAGATTCTGCCAACTAATAGTAATTTGGAGCATGAAGGCGTTTGAGTAAGGATAGCTGGCTGCCACTTAAACAGGTGTGTTCTGGATGTTTTAAAATGTAGCCCTGTATCCTCCTCTCAGGAAACAGCGTTATCTTTTGTTTATTATTTTGGTTGGAGGAATATGTGTGGCCCCTTGAATGCCTTTTTACACCATGGGGGTGTTTTTGAATGGGAGAAAGGTGGTTCGGAACATGGGGACTCTCCCCTTGGTGGATTCCTCCTGCAGATGTGGCTCGGGATGTGGCTATGATTAGGCCTCCCACTCTGAAGCACTGTGCAGACCTCTGTTGATGTGTCCGATGGGGAGAGGCCTGACTCCTGGTTTATAGATGATGTGCTGCATATCATCCTTTGTGACTGCATACCATTCTTTCAGATTAGGCCACTTGCTTTCCAGCTGTCTTTTTGCAAACATTATTGTTTTATGTGGGTAACTCATAATGATTTTTGTTACAATGTGCACTTCCCAGAGAGGCAGTGTTCCAGAGAACACAGAGAAATCTTGCATCCATTGATTCACTCCCCAAGTGGCCACTGACAACTGGGTCTGGGGTCGAGCCAGGCTGAAGTCAGGGGGCTTCATCTTTCTGATTCCCTCCCGTGGGTGGCAGGGCAGTCCAAGCACTTGGCTACTTTATGCTGCTTTCCCAGCACCTTAGCAGGGGGCTGGTTAGACTTAAATCAGTGCTTGTACGGGATACCAGCATCACGGGTAGTTCATTAACACACTGTGCCACAATGCTGGCCCCTTGGAGATTTTTTTGAGCTTTGCTTTGCCTTGTGGAGGAAGGAGGGTGCCTCCAGGACGCCCCAGGGTCTCTCTCCTGCTCTCAGTGTCGCCTTCTTCAGCCAGTGTTGCTGAGTGAATGGATGTCACTCAGGAGTGGCTCTGGATCCTCCCCGCCTCATGTGGACATGTTTCCAGATGGTTGCCCATGACTGGACAGTAGACTCATGTCTTCAGGGCAGAGTTCATGCAAGGGAATCTGGAGCTTCCTGAAAACCCCCCTCACACAGTGCTCCCATCTTTCTGTGTGCACGGTGGGATGTGTACCTGGCTCTGCCCTTTGGTAGTGAATGGGCTGCTGTGTGCACCTCCACCTGCCGCAGACTGAGAGGGTGCCGGAACATAAATTCCTCTCAATCAATCCCGATGACCTAATGGACTCTGTAGCTTGACACTAATGTTAGTTGCCATCCGCCTTTCTAGCACCACCAACAGCAGCAGCTCCTATGCCTGGGCTTGTCTGGTGGCTTTGGTTGTTCCTGTGTGTTGTGCCTGGGTCTGGCTGTCTCCTATTGGACCAGAAGGAGCTCTTAAGAGGTGGGACTATGGTATGTGCAGGAAGTTGATCCTCACACTGCACTGGAAGAATGTGGTCCCTGCCAGAGGATGGCTGGGCACATCTGGGTCCCTGTGGGGCAGGGAGGTATCACCCTCATGCTGGGCCTGTCCTCTGTTCTGTTGGAACTGCTGGCTGCTGAGGTGTATGTGTCTAAGGACAGTTGGTTACTGGTCTCTTTAAATCACCAAAGACCAGTGGGTGATGTCACCATGCTTTCCCACGGGCCTGCCCACACAGACCTGGGGCCATAAGCCAAGTGGCCATTGATGAGACATGGCTGAGGGTGGTATGGGGCTTTGCCATGCGTTCTAGCCACCTGGCTTTCCCCTGGCAGTCTGTCAAGTTCATGTCACATGCACATGAACCCCAGGTCATCACACAAGGCCAAGAGGACATCAGCTGACAGGGTGAAACCTGCCTCTCTCTTCTCCCAGTCTCATTCCCAGTTGCACGTGTGAGCATCTGGCTAGATGGTCACAGCCATTTGCTCACGTGAAATGAACCATTGCAGCCGTGCTGTAGGCAGTAGTGGAAGTTGGCCTCCTGGCACCATTCGCAAAATTTTGAGACTGTGGGCTTCCCGTGCCTATCTTAAATAATAATGTGGTATGAAAATGTGGCCACAAATTTAACCAAAGGAAGCAAGGACCAGCCGGTATCCTCCAGATTATATGCACTATCTGTAAAATCACAGACTCTGAAAAGCAACATGGAGCACTGCTGGGTCTGTCGCGATAGCTGTTGGATTAGACATTGTCTCACCCATAGGCAGTTGTTAAACATCCAGGGTGGGAAGGCAAGAAGTGGATGGGAGGCTGTCATGAAAAATAATGAGCTTGGATGATTGCTGGCGAGCTACTGTGCTGCCATGCCCTGACTTGGGATGGAATTTCAGCCTTTGAGAAACTCCAGTGCCTTTGTTTGCCCAATTCTCCGACCTGGGTCTTCTGTTGGCATGAGCCTTGTGATGTCTGCCAGGATAATTCCCCATTGGAGAACTAGAGGAAGTTGCCGTGTAGGTGGTTTAGTTCACTGAAGGGTGAGACGGGGCTGGAGGTTGAATCTGCAGACTGAGATGAGAAAGGTGCAGGTGTGTGCCAAGCCGGGACATGTCCCCTTTCCCCACCTCCACTCCACCCCAAGACTGGGTGAATGACCCAGCCCTTCTGGGCTTGGGTCTCTAGGTCACACTGGCTTTTTGGTAACTTTTGTTTGGATCGCATTTCAGACTGAGGTCCGTGTTACCAGGATTATGCCCATACCTCTTTTTGGTCCCCTTGGGGTTCCCATTGTCATCCTCTGGCTATGTTTGCTTGAGTGCTTTCTGAATATGGTTTCCACGTCCTTGGGTTCAACCAAGAGTATTGAAAATACAGAGAAAGGATTGCCTCATGCTTCGTGTTTGCAGGCCCTTCATGCTATTCCCTGTGTGATACAGCACGGCTACTATTTATAGAACGTTTACGTTGGCTTAGGTATTTGTGAGTCATGTAGAGGTGACTCAAGCTTAGGGGCATATATAGGTCCTTGGAAATACTGTCCTGCTGTGTATAAGGAGCTTGACTGCTCTGAGGATTTGGTGTCCTTGGGGGAGTCCTACAGCCAGCCCCCCAGTGATATTCAGGGATAACCATACATTATTGAACGAGTTACAGACCCAAGAAGGAGAATGTGCTCTTAGGTAACTGCGGTGGCGCTGACGCTTGGAGATGGAGAGTTAACAGTTATCTTGCCTGTCCCGTGGACCTCCCTGAAGCTAGCTCCCTTCTGAAGAAAAAAATAAATTCTTGTGCAAGGATCATGCCTTGAATTTAGATGCCTTATCCTGTTGGCTTCATTTCTCCAGACCTGTTCTCTGATCTTTGCTCTCTGTGACCACTGATGGGTATGGGAAGGTCAGGGCAGACTCGCAGACTCCCTAAATTTGGTTTGTGCGAGGTTTCCACGCATTCAGATTCAAGTCTGGCATTTCTGGCACAGCCAGTCGTTCCTACCCTGGTGACACCACTGTGGGTCCCAGGTGGCGAATCCCGCTGTACTGTTTGAGTTTTTCCATACTCAGTAGAAGCAGAGAGCCTGGGATAGAGAAAGAGCTCACCTTTCTCCACCTGCATTCCTCTTCCACACAGTGGGTTGTCAGGTGTTGTTTCTGGTACGCATTTGTGGCTTTCACTTCCCTGGATTTGCTGTAGCCCAGGCACTTGTGGAATGTGCAGTGAGATGAAGCCTGGAGGCCTTGGAGGCAGGGGCACAACTCTTGTGGGTGGCATAGGTGCGTCGTCACTCTTACAGGGGGAGACTCACAGAGAAGCTGAAACTTCAGTGTAGAGCCAATGAAGGAGGCCAGTAACTTGTGTTTGGCTGTGTCGTGCAGGACAACAAAGCCTGCCGAACACAGGACAGCCGGGTCTCAGGCCTGACTCAAGCCTTCATGTAGCGCAGTATACCTGCCAGAAGTAGCCTGCAGGAGAGGATGTGAGTCCTGGGAGCATGGTGGCTTCTTGGGCAGGGTTCTGGGCTGTGCGCTGGGACCTTGGCTGAAAGGTATGCACTGGGCCTCTCATGGCTTTGAACCCCGAGCCACACTGATAGGTCTGAAGCTGGGACCATTGACCCTCTGGGTTACTAGGGAGCTTCCCAAGCAGACTGTCCAGCCTTCCTTATTGTGTGCACAAGAGGTCTTCTCTGGGCTCACACTGGCTCGGGAGATGCTCCGGCTGTGGACAGCCATGGGTGTGAAGCACTCACAACTCCTGTGGGTCCTCTGGATGTGGCAAGGACTGAATGGGAAGCCATTTGTTGTTTAATCACAGGAAACAGAGCGCATCAGTATGTTTACGCTCCACGCCGCTATTCCATCCAGGGCATGTGCAGGCATGAGTGGATTGATGTGTGTTGTAGACCAAAGTGTAGCCCTGCATCAGACAAACAGGAGTGGAAGAGGTGGCCCCGCAGACTGGTTTTGATGAAATGCAAGTTCTGGTTGAAGTGTTGGCGCATTAGCCCTTTCCTGGACTGCATATAAACAGTCTGAGCTCTCTCTTCCAGAACCTGTGGGTCTTCTGTGCTGGGGACCGTTGGTTTTATTAAAGGATGTTGTTTTCCTTGTAGACTGGCTGCAAGGGGAGAAGCCTACCTTGCAATTTGCTTAGTAAACCCACA